TTGGCCTGCCTTGAGCAGGAGGTTGGAGTAGAGACTTCCCAAAGTCCCCCTCAATGTGAATGATTCTGAAACAGCAGAAAGGAATTCAGTGGCTGGCACACAGGAGGCTGCACACATGGAGCATTGCAGTACCAAGCCATTACAAAATTACAGCACGCTCTTAATGTTGTGGTTTTATCAGCCGAGGTATGTTAAAAACCAGTACTTTGAACTCAAAGTGACATAAGGTGTAGCAGTAAAAGCACAATTTTGACTGTGTGACTGTATCTGCACACAGACTTCGTGCCAGCATCAACGTCAGTCAGCTGTCACACCATGGACCCGCACGATACACTTGCCTAGGTCTGCACTCCTGATGTGTGAGAGAAATAAAAACCTAAGCATACCACATACCTACAACAAAGCCTCTGAATCTTTTTCTGTCAGCTAACTGAATTCACAAAACTACCTGCAAGGCCTTGTTCCCTGAACACCTTGAAGACCTTCTGCTAACAGTTTTATTAACTTCTGTTTCCTGCTTTTAAATGACCATCTTGGGGCTGTGTGGCTGTGAAAACACTGCCTGCAAGCGCTTTTGCAAGGAGCCTTATTTGTACTTTCTTACGAGCGTGCATTGTAACTCTTACACTGAGCACTTCTGAGATTCGGCAGTACAGGGCAGACTGGCACCGGGCCAAAACCAGGCTGGCGAGGGCTTATGGTGGTGTTTATGTCCTCTGGACACCAAGTGTTTGGCTGAGGTCGGGTCTTCATCCCTGAAGCAAAACTAAACCCAATCTTGTACTCTGATCCTGGCAACTACAGAACATGGTAACAAAAACCTAAGACAAAAAAAATGGCACCACAAAAAGTGGGTTAAATAGCACAAATTTCCAGCTGACAAGCAGAAGCGAAAAGGGCTGTTTATTACTGAAAAATAAGGTGGCTTCTGAGAATATTAATATAATGTAAAAATAGGGACAACTCTAATACTGTAAGTACCAAATAGGAGGTAAGTGATCGCTCTAATATGCAAAAAACCCACCACCAAAACCATTCTAGGAAGAAAGCCCACCTAATGCTGGTACAAATGCGGACAAACTGTTTTGGTTTGTTTTTTTTCTCTTCTCATCATGTCACATCATCTCCACAGGTAACTTTGTACAAGGACTCGGCTGGAGAAGACTTTGGGTTCAGCGTCTCGGATGGTTTGCTGGAAAAAGGCGTGTACGTTAAAAACATCCGCCCAGCTGGCCCTGGCGACCTGGGAGGTTTAAAACCATACGACAGGCTTTTGCAGGTAACGTTTCTGGCAGCACCCAGGTGTAGCGTGCCGGGACACGACACGCAGACAGCTTTGTAGAGAGATTTGTGACCGCGCTGCGGGGTGCTTGGGTAGCTGTCTGCACAGGTGGGAGGGCAGAAAAGCACACAAGGTGTTTTCGTTGCTTACTTGAACAGCCTTATTAGCCACATCATTGCTTATTTTATTTTACATGATGAGCAGTACTTTCTTTTGTATCTGTCTCTGCTGGGAAAGGAGGTGCATAAGGGGACGGGGAAAAAAGACAAATAATGGTAATTGCCCTGTGCCACAGGCCGTGTGAGTCGCTCAGAGCCTGGGTAAGGAGAGGCAGCAATTCATGGTGACTTGGGCTTTTATGCAGCGGCACTAAGGCTAGATTTTCCTGGGAAGTTTTATTCGTATAGTTTCAGAATGTTAGGTGTTTCAGAACTCCACAGGAGACATACAGACGCTCACTGGAAAGCCGGCATTTCCCAAGGCATTTCCAGGCAGATTTGTAACTTTGGTGTTCATGATACAGACCTGAGAATTGTTTCTGTGCTTAATCCAAGTTGTTGACTGGCGGAGTTGGAATAATGTAATACTCGCTCTGCACCACACTTACCCACTGCTAAGTTGGGCTGTGGTAAAAAAACTGAATTATTTGTCAACTAGCCCAATAAAATACTTCAAATAAATTTATATGTATTAATTAAAACCAGAGAAGGCCTGAACTGAATAGAAATTTTAGATGTGATGTATTGCATTTAAATTAATCAACACCACGAAAGACAGAAAAACTATGTGCTGTTAAATGTCATTTACGGAATGGGCATTGTGATAGCTCCCAACAGGTCTCACCAGTGCCAAGGCGCCCACTTTAGCTACATTCTGCTAAAGGGAGAGTAGAAAACTTAACTGGTGTCTTCAGACCAGATGTCATGGTTCAATATTCTTGTATTGGGCGATTCTCTGCCTGGAATATTTCCATCAGGTCCCATAGTCTCCAGGATAAATCACCTTCTCTTGTGATCTCATTTCTTTTTCCTAAAACAGTAACAAAAATCAATCCTCTAACTGCTCAGGTAAACCACGTCCGCACCAGAGACTTTGACTGCTGTCTGGTTGTGCCCCTCATCGCGGAATCTGGCAACAAGCTGGAACTGGTTATTAGCAGAAACCCACTGGCAGCTCAGAAAGGAAGCTCAGAACAGATGTCAGCGAGCGGGGAGTGGAGCGATCAGAGTACCAACGCCTTCCTTCAGCAGAGCCGGCACGCTCACACAGAAACACGGGATCCTACAAATACGTTATAGCAGAAAATGGTTTTAGTGGGACATTCGGTAACAAAAGACAATTATGGTGCTAAATCCCTCTAAGATTCCTCTGAGACTGAGGCTCAGACGCTGTACAGCACTAAAAAGCACAGGAGGTCAGTCTGTCTCTCTCAAGGCTTATATTAATCCATGGTTACTTTTGAAAAAGTTTTAATTCTTCATTAAGTCATTCTGTTCTAAACAATCTAGCACTAGCAACAGAATGAAAAATTGTAAGGGCCTTTTTCCCCCAAAACGAGAAACTGGGGAGATGCTTTAAATATGATGTAAATGTTCCTCTCACTTCATCAGCAGCTGCTGTTTGAGGGAGAAGCACGGAGTTCACCTCTGCTGACAGCGGTGTCCAGCTTACATGGCTTTTAAAAACACCTTACCAGAAAGGAGCTGTCTGATGGACGAGGGCGACGGTACGCTGCACCGGGTTTTCTCGTCCAATGGCCAGACCTGTGAGTTTGGGGACCTGTGTTCCGCTGGCAAGAAGGGCGCTCTCGTCAGACGAAGCACGGGTCAGATGTTTTAACCACATGCTTGTAGGAAGCCGCAGGACGCGGCGAACATCACTCCCCCACCTCGGTGAGGTTTGTCAGAACACACGTTACTCCCTATGCAACGAAATATTGAACGGTACGTCGTGCAACCTGGGGGTTGTAAGCAGACTTTTTTAGTGGGATGAAACCTCTGAAGGAGGATTACTGACAAGAATAAAACTGCAATGAGTTCAAATTAGAAAGGTTTTAAGAGAAAATGGCTTTTTTTAAACTATGTCAGTGGAAGATTGATACAAACACTCTTTAATGATCCCTAAACCCGTAAACTTGTACTGTCACACATGAGCTTTTTAAGTCAAACAATTTCTTGAAGGGACAAAAGTCCTATTTAATATGCTTTGTTTTCAGCCTCCTTTACAATAAAACATTACCCCCTGCAACACATTTTTAGAATTGAAAATTGTAAATATATTTTACAAACACATCACACAAATTCTCTCCTCTCCCCTCTCCCCCCCAAGCAATAAAATGCTGCCAGTTGCTTTATACGCTCACCAGCAGCTGCTTTGGTTTATTCCGGTATTCAAGTTGTTATTGGTAATTATTGTTATTGGTGAATATAAAGATACTGGATTTGTACATTTGTAGAGTCTCCATATATAAACAATCACCTTACAGCATTGTTTCTGGTCAGTTTAAAACTGTTTAACTGTATCCCTGTTGCTGTTTCCAGTCCATGAACAAGTTCACCTGCCCTGCACACACAAGCATCTCTGATTTCTATTTCAGCACTGCCAGGAAAGGTCAGAATGACATTCAATGCTGAGTCATGTAAAAAAAAAAAAGTTCATCAGTCACTTAAATATGTATTTTTATTTGTAACAAATGAGTATTAAACTGTAAAGTATTTTTGTACAAATTTAATACTTTAATAGCATGGTATTTATCGTCTATGTTATGTTTTTTGAAATTCAAACTGTTGCAAATATTTGTATGGAAGAACTGTATAAATTGAAATAAACAGTGATTTAAAGACATTAAAAATGAGGTAGCATTTTTTTGACTTTATATTTTTTCCACAGTTTTAGCAAAAAATACTATTTTTGTATTTCTGGTACACTTTTTCTTGCCATATTTGTAAAAAAAAAAAGTTAAAAGTAAGCAAGCTGTCCCAAATTTTAGTACAATTTATCTGAAGTTTGAATTAACATTCAGCTTATTAATCTCAAAAATGACAACGCAGCGAGTTGCGTAGTACACAAAGGTTGGAAGTGGAACATTATTTGAACTCTGACTTGGAATTCTGCTTTTCTTGCCAAGATCGTTATCAGAGCGGCAATGGCAAGCTTTACATCTCCTTCAGGTACAAAGCCGGAAAAATTTTCTACGTCGCTGATTGCAACTTTCTTGTTCTATTTACGACGAGACTGAAACCCATAATCCATCAAAGCTTCGTGCCCATAATTCTGCCACACGAGAAAAATCTGAAGTCCCATTTGTAAACTATTTTTTGAGTCGGAGCAAGCTGCAGTTTTGGCACATCAGTAACAGCTGCTCCTCAACGCTGCAGCATGAGGCAGCGGCTAAATCTCAGTGTGGACAGCTAGAGCCTCTAAATCAAGAAACCCCCACGTATTGTTTAAGGGAACTTCTGGATCCTGTGAAACCTGTAAGTCCATTCTTCACCAAAACAAAAGAATGATACGATTTTTGATGACCAGCATGCCAAGAAATCCCCTACTGAGATCTCTGAAAATATAAAAGGCTCACTTTAAAACAAGCTGTTCTTCATAGAACATGCAAATACAGGAAGGCCTTTGAAAATCATCTGCATACCCAGCTTCTCCGTTCCAAAAATCCTGAATAAAACAAGTTCAAGAAATGTTCATAAGGAGGAGAATTAATTAACTGTTAGCTTTTGAAAAGCTTCCGTGGAGTTGCTTGTCCCAAAGTTAGATTCTTAAGTCTGGAAGACCCAAGCGGGGAATCTTGTACTGTTGTCTGCTGAAACAAAACAGAACAAAGATGTTATCAGAGTTTGAAACAGAACTAAAATACAGTAACCTCTTCAAATAAAAGCTCCTTCCCCATGACAGGGCTCAGAAATCAGATGTATAAAAATGTATCTACTTCAATGAAGAAATTATATGTAAATGTTTCACAGCAGGTCAGCTCCTAAAAACTGACCTCTGTACACAAAGAATAAGCTGATACAGGCTAAGCTAGCCAACGGATCACTCCAGTGAGTAACAAGATGTAAAAATGTACTGCCGATGACACTCTAACTTATTTTTCCCTACTAGTCACATACTACTCTGGTAAAACATCTGCCAAACTTGACTGCTTCACCTATTACTGGTCACCTTATAAATTATTAAAGAAGTAATAATTAAACAATCATAACAGTATCCAGGCCACTTGCGGTAGTGAAAGACTGCGAAAGTTTTGAACTTTTGTCAGGCAGGAGACACTTACAGAGGGTATTTTCACAGTGTCCTCGGCACTCTCCGCAAGACTTTCTTGTCTTTTACAGGGGCTTCGCTGCAAATTGCCCGTCTGCTCCTCTCTACCGAGAGCTGTCAACCCTTCCTGTTTAACCAGATCAGTCCGAGGTCCCGATGGGTCAGGAGCATCTTCAGTTACCAAAGCAGACGGAGCCTCAAGCTCTTGACTTTGCCAGCTCTTCTCCAGGGCAGAGGAGGTTTCTTTGCGACAGTTGCTTGTTTCTGCGATTGCCTCTCTCAAAAATCTCTGTAGGCGAGTTTTTCTGGGCATGTTCTTGTTGGTGACTGCTCTCTGGAGGTGCAGCTCTTCAGCTATGACATAGACACGGCAGCGTCCCCTGGTCACGGCTGTGTACACATGCTGCCAGTGCTGACGGCCAGGATTGCCAACCACGTAGACAATAGTGTCTACCTCAGAACCCTGAAACACAGTTAAGAGTGCCTTATCAAAGGAAGGTCTCCAGGAGGTTGTTGAAAAATAAAAAAGCTTCCAAGAACAAGGAAGTTGGAGACAACTGGGGATCCTCTCAAGAATATTTTCTATCCTTCATTCAAGGAATTTTAGTTTCAAGAGAGCTTCTGACTCTTTCACATGAAAATACACTAGCAAGATAAAGCCACAAGAAAGTTTTATCAGCTCACAGCTGCTTTATTTTTACCTGAAAGGTGTGAATAGTTCTGGCCCATGCATGTTTTATATGACACAGCCTCTTCAGTGCCTTGTACTTCACAGTGAAAGTGGAGCCGTATGTGCTGCTGATGGTCAGTAAGCGCTGTTTATCAATTTCTACGTCCTGCAGAAAGGGCACAAGAACACTCAGCAGTAAGCTCGTATCCGCAGTCTGATCAATGTCTGTACATCTGGGCACATTCTAGATTTCCCAAAACTACAACAGCTGCAATGCCAACCGAGTGAAATCCTTTCAGAAGAGACTACACCCAGAAGATGGCTATCTTTCACTGACCACCTTCCAGGAAACAGTTTCACTGTACAGGGCCTACCCTAACTCCTTCTGTTTAGTAAGAAAAATGCTGAGAAAGGCAGTTTTAACCCCCAGAAAACTTAGGCTATCCTAGGCTACAGCAAAATACACCAGTGAGGCCCTTCAGCAATTTGTCACCCCAAACAGAGAAGGGCCTGCTCTCTCCCGCCAGCCCTGTACAGTCCCCCTTTCCCAGGTACAAACACTGACCCTTTCACTGGACTCTCTGCTCAGTCAGCTCAACTCACAGAACTCGGCAGAACAATACAGAGTTTTTTTGCTGCTGTATTTTTTGGTCAGCTTCATTCTCTGCCAGGGGAATGCTCAAGCTGCAACATTAGCTTTATTCTTTACTTAAGACTATGTTTCTACCTATATCCAAAACATTATCCATTTCAACGACAACACCTTTGAGGATTTACAGAATGTATTTACACTGGACACCAGCAGACCAACTGAAACACATTTTACAAAAATGCCCAGAGATTTTTTTTTTTTTCATTCTCTATTGCGAGTCTGCCTCTTTCTTGCCTTTCACATGATAGTTTAGCAGAAGAACTAAGTATATATTATGGACTAAAATTATAAAGTGTGAATTGTTCTATTCTGGGGGTTCAACAAGGACTGAATCAGTTACCACTGGGGTTCTTTGTGCAAGTTCTTGACTTACTCCCGTTATGAAAAAGATATCTCCATTGCACAGCCGTCTGCCCTCCTCAGCAGTCTCTGTAGTGAGGGTGGTTTCTCCACTTCGGCATTCACGGCGACTGGGATCCCCTCCGAAACCACGGTCTGGCAAGAGATCCTTGAGATACGTATTCCGCATGCAGGAAATCTTGTCACCAATTTGAAATAAGAGTCGGTTTTTATGGTCTCTAGGCCAGAGAAAGAAAGAGGGAGAAATGAATTTATGGAGTATGCATTTGCCATCTCAGGATTTCTTCCCTTTCCCCTCTCTATCCTTGGGCCCAATTAAAAACCTTCATAATGTTTGAAACAGTTAAGACAACTCACATTCAAAAGCTTTTATGTCACTTTAAAATAATCAACAGTAACTCCAAATCTTGGAATTCACATAATTACAATTTAAATGAAATGCAAACACTGTTATATTTATGTTATCTTTGTTCACAATCCAGGCTGAGATTAAAAAACCCATCGAAGAAAGATTATTATATAAAAGATTTCTAACATAAATAATCAGATCTAGATGAACATTAAAAGTTTTACAATCCTATTTCAGGTTGCTGGCCTGGCTGTAACACTTTCAAAATCAAAGTGAGACTGTTCACAGGAAAAATTGCAAAACACTGGCTTACCTCGTTACGTGATTTGAATAGTGCTGGCAGCAAAGTTCATTTATTAGATCGCAGTCTTGCCTAAATCATACAAAAGAAGTACATGAACAAAATCGCGATGTACAAAACACAAAATTACACACAATGTCACATTAGCATTACTTCATAAATCATGGGAAAAGCCCATTTTAGCTATGATGATCTTCGACCAGCAATTACAAACAATCGCTGATTCAGAATTTAGAAGACAGAGCAGTAAAGGAACAGTTTTGTCTAAACACCATAAAGTGAGGCAAGGACGTTTGAGATGCATACCTAGATTGGCTAGATTTGTTTTTAAGATAAGGAGGAAAACTAAGTAAAAACTAAAGCCTGGATATATTATTTTCTGCCTGTGGATGTATTAAGCTTTTTAAAGACCTGGAATTTTAACTTTTAAATGCAGACTGAATCTTAATGGGAAATTGTTAATAAGAGTATTGTATGTGAAGGCAGACTGGAGAAATAAAACTGATTTCAGAGTTACTCATTGTTCCCAGCAAACAGGTACGATTTATAACGCTTATTTGCACACCAGTAACCTGTAATTAGTGGGTGTTTCTTCATTGCTGAGAAAAGGTTTTCTTAAGTACCCCTTTGAGCGGAAGTGTAAGCTTACGGACTACTGGTACTACTGGACACCACACATCCCCCTTCAGCGTTTCTGTGAGGCCATCCATAGTATTCACGCTCCTGCGATGGTTCACATCACCAGTGACAGCATACTAAGCTTTCCAGTCTTTCTTCAATGTCTGTTAGAGCCCGACACCCCACCCCTTCTTAAATGACGAGTAGTGCGCTTCCAAATACCCAAACCGTAGGCACTGGCCGCTGCCCAGCAGGAGCACTAACGCCCGTCAGATTGTACGACTAAATCTGTCCCTTGTCACACGCCCAAAATGCAAGCATCTTCTGTCACCCGTGGCAGAAGCAGGCAGAGGCAGTAGGTCGTGTGTGCCATCACGCGCCCTAGGATTCACATTCGCCACCATGGGACACATTTGAGTATGGACATTTCTTTGTATTTTGCGGCTTCCTCCTGCAGTCAAGCCCTCACCTTTCACTTCTGAAGAACGCTGCACTGCTGGCAAACACCAGAGCACGGGCTCTCAGAGAATCCGCTACAAAAACTGACCACTTCTGTACGTCCTTCGTTTCTCTTACACAAACTTCTGTACGTCCTTCGTTTCTCTTACACAAACAGTACATATGAACACAACCACAATGGCAGAAATCACAGTGCAAAATAACATTAAGCTTACAGAAAAATGAAGCAACTCTCCACGGAGAGACTGGGGGCAGCCAGAAAGTAGAGGAAAAGACACCTGGCCTGTTGTTCTCTCTAGCAATTTTATGATATTGCCACTATTCTCTCCAAGTCAACACATTCAGCTATTTTTAGAGTGTGGCTGCTAGCAAGGATTTTTTCAGTGTCTGCCTGCATGCTCCTTTACCTTCTGAAAGCAATGAACTGTGATTGCTTGGCATCCTGCAATCCCGGTCCTCTTTTAAGTAAAGTCTTTATGGCAGTTTGTAAATCTGTTTTAGGAGACATTAAAAGGTAAGGCATAAAAATATACAGAACAAACAATTTAAGAAAGAAAAGCATAATTCAGTATGAAATTGCTTTTGCTTGTTTCTTGCTTCAGTGACATTTTAATTTGTTTAAAACAACCAAAAAAAACCTCCAAAACACAAAACCACCAACCCCTGTCCCTAACCCTGAGCCCAAAAGAGTTTTAAAGAAATACTGGTGTCCCCTCCACTTCCATTTTCCTAACTTGACTCCAGAGTTGCGAGCACATTCCTGTCCAACACACCATCCTGTTACAGTTGCTGTTTACTCAAATGATTCACCTCTGAAAAATATAATCTTTTACATTTTGGCAGCTCCAGCTGCAACATGAAAAGACGATCACAATGGATTACACTGGTGGAAGCTCTATCACCCTGATTTCAAACTGTAACTGGTGAGCTGCAGCTACAGCGTGTCCTCCGCACTCAGAGGTCTTGCTGTGTGCACTTACAGAAGACAAAAGGTAAACTAGGAATCTAGTATTTAAATTTATACCACAAATAAGACTCAAATCTTCCAAAAATGTTAGTTCCAGCCAAATAGTCTATGCTTTACCAAAGGGAAAGTCAAGATCACAAACTGACTGTACACACGTACTGTCACAACCCCCACCAGCAGGCAAAGACATAAGAATGAATTTCTTCTCCGGGCTCGGCATTGTCATTTCCTCATTCCAGCCAGAAAGTTTCAGCACCTCATCAAATTCAGGAAGCTTCCGGTGAGAGATTCTTGACAGAGCAATCCAGGGAAAACAGAAAAGAAAGATTTATTTTCAGCTAAAGGACTCCCGTGTTTCATCATCTGCATCAGCCTGAAGTTCACTACTTACAAATTTTTTATCATCTACACTACATACACCAAAAAAATCTTTCTTCTGAGTATAACTTAATTTCACATTAAAAAAAAAAATGGTAATTTATTCTCTTAAACACTTCAGCACTGCAGTAGATAGTATTACCCACACAGTTCTTCTCATGGCAAGAGAATGGAGTAACACAGAAGTGTTACTGGAAAAAAAAAGTGAGAGCGTTTGAAAATGACTTCGTTCTGGACATCTTGCAAACGTTCAGAATTTTCTCAAAGTCCAATCAACATCAAAAGGTCTTGGGCACTCGAACCTAGATTTTCTTGTTTGAGGTTTAAAAATCATGCACTGACAGTAAACTAGATTATTTCCAGACCAAAAGTAATGCAAATGCTAGAAGCATTTACAGGTTCTAGATGTTAATACAGCAAAAAAATTATGATTTAATGGCCCTTGACATCTAAATTGTCAATGTAATTCAGCCTGTTTTAGCTGTTATCATGCTTACTAGCAATGTCTTTAAAAATTCCTTTTCAGAGAAGCAATTGTAAGTCATTTCAGAAGGCATACAGTGATTTGTGCATGCACAACTCATCTGAAAACAACAGAGAGTATCTGATAGTGAAATACATCCCATACAATTCAAGAGTATTCCAGCACATACATTTTTTTTGTCCAATACATATACTCCTGGAAAAAAATTGTAGGTTTGTTATTGTTGTTTCAGGGTTGGGTTTGTTTTTAAAACCAGTGTCACTGGTTTTGACTATAAAACTGTAGCAGAAGCAGTACTACACAGTCACATCTGAACACACTACTATTCTGCCGTTAAAGGACCAGGCCTGCTACAGGAATGCTTCTTATATACGTAAGGAAACCCCACCTTGATGCATTATCTACAATTAGTTGCGATTCAGCTCTGTGGTTAGTTCGCAGTTCCACAGAAAACCCTCTTGATTTTAGACCTTCAAAGATATCAGCTAACATGTTTCCCGGGTCTATGCTTGGTAGTTGTCTAGTATCACCTAAACAGAATGGAAATTAGCACTTGTGAGAAGCAGTAACACATCACCTGTGACAAACTGTCTTGGGAAAAAAGCAAACACTGGAATTAATAAATCCTTCACCCTCCACACAGTAACATGTGGAGGGTTGAGTATTTATTAATATACTTCCTCAATACAATTCACATTAAATAAAACTTTCAAGAATCTACAAAACTTTATTTGGGGAATCAGACTGTAGTGTGGTTAAATCTTCATTTTCCTCACTCAGTAATGCTTTACTAGCAGGTGCAAATCACTGCATGATGAACACTGACCGTGGTCACATCTTATTCAAACACATTCTGAAAGTTACATATTTAAAAACGAATGCCATGAATGGCACACCAAAAAGCAAACCTCTGAGAAAGCAGAAAATTTTGATTTTACACTTACTTGTTTTCCTTTCCGAACTAAAACAAGATGATCCTAGCATTAAGAATGACAGGAAACCTCCCTTCTAACATGTGATTAATAAGCTAACATTAGCTTCTTTAAATTTAAGGAAATCAGAAAAGTTTTCCAGTTGCAAGATGTAATAAGCTGCCACACAGAAATCATACTACTTCCAGAATCAGACAAAACACTGCTAAACAGAGAACAGAGATACCAATACTTTCATTCTGATAGTTGAGATGGAAAACTGTTGAACAGCCCAGTCTATCTCGTCTGACCTTATGAATAGGCAGAAATACCCAAGTACAGAACAATTTAAGTTCTGGGGTTTTTAACAGACTCAGTGAGACGAGTGGCAGCTCTGATACTTACACTGTACACTGTGTATTATTAAATACTGTACAGTGCAAAATTTTTTGTTTCACTTACCTAGAATAATAAGTTTGGCAAGCTGAGCGTGCTCACACAAGAGTTTTAAAACTAAACTAAGAACATGTACAGACACCAAACTTCCTTCATCCACAATCAGAATCGTCACAGTAGAAAATTTCCACGGCTGTGCTTGTTCACTCTGCCTCCATGACTTAAAACTATAGATGATCTAGAAACAAATCAAAATAAATCAAGATCGGACACTAATCAACTGTAAACGACCGTCTTATAAAGGTAGCCAGAGTATCGTATCTTCTAATGTTGTATTTAGAGCTGATACCTGAAGTTCTGAACTTTAAGCTCTACAGACTCAGAAGACTCAACAGTTTGGTCTTGTTTTCCTCCTTATTGAACACATTTCTAGCTGAGATTATCAACACTTACTTACATAAAAGCACAGAAATGCATTCTTTTGTTTCTGCAGGGACCTTAACAGATATGAGGTCGGCCATTGGGTTGCTCAGTAACCGAACACCTCCTGCTACAACTTGCTGACATTAATAAATCCCCAACAGTGCATGGAGAAAGGGGAACAGGCAACTATCCAGTCCCCAAAGATAAAATAAGCCCACAGTACTTTCTATGTTGTTATAATTTTGAGTTATAGAGGTATTCTACACCTCCAATGTTTTCTTGGCACCTTCCACTACCTAGGAGAACAGACGTGACCCAAGTTCAGTAACAAAGAGTTTGCTTTCTACTTTTTTCTAAAAAAAATCGCACAATATTTAACAGTAATTAAGAAAACACTGTGGGAATGAAATTCATCTTATTATTCAACCTCAGGCTACTGATCTGTTCATGTATGTGAGGGTAGGTGTATGATTGCTAGGCAACAGGACACTAGAAAATAGCTCTGCTATCTAGAAAGTACTTCTGCTCCTCATTAAAAAGAAAAAACTAGAAAGGCACAAATTTGACATGTGTGTAAGTAGAAGAAAAACACAAAATCACAGGAAATAATTTATTCCAAATGATTGCTTTGTGACTCCCCAAAATGCAACACTGGCTTTCAAATGCTGACAAGCTGTACTTAAGTATTATCATTAATAGTGACAAATTTTATACGGAAAGTTCAATAACAAGCTTTTTTTTCAAAACAAGGATGGACAGTGCCAAAAGGTCTTTCAGAACAAAACTTAACAACAAAAAGAAATTCCTTACCTGATGGAGCGTATACGCAGGAAGCTTAGTTTTTTCACTCAAAAGGCTTGCTGCCCTCCCTGTAGGCGCAGTAAATAGTACATTCAAAATTCTTTTTGTGTACACATTCTCTGACTCCCAATGATGATCAAAGGTATTCCATTCCTCAGATGCATCCAGGTCTTCTTCAAAGTCCTTAGAAGCAGCTTCCACTTCTTCTTCCATCTGCTTTAAGTGACGAAAAAGGCAGCTGACAATGGTACTCTTACCACAGCCTCCTTTTCCACTTATGATTGTGACAGGATTAGAACAAATCTTTTCCATAGCAATCACCTGATCTATGTCTACCTTTGCTTTACTTTGGGTGCCAGACGCAGACCCCTCTTCCTTTTCAGGAAAGTGATGCTCACAGTTATGATTGTCTGGACTATTTTCCTTCAGATGCTCCATTTCATGAGCCCAGGTAACATTTGTTTTGTTATCTTCCATTTCTCTTGCTGTCTCAGAAACATTAAGTACCTTTCTCACATCAACATCCAGTTGCCATGAGTGGTTTGACAGCAGGTTACGCACATACATTGCAATGTCTTTTTCAGACTTGTAAAGATGAGGCAGAAACACTAGTCTTTTCTCCCTAATCACTACGTTCTGATCTTTCAAAAATTCAAGAGATTGCCAAGCATGCTCAATGGACATATCTTTAGATACAAAATGAGCTAATTCATCTTGATCTTCGTAAGTGTGTCCCATTTCCCGACACTGTTTCTTGAGTTGATCGTACAGCATTAATGCGTTCTTCTGCAAGTCAGGAATCTTCCAGAGGAGATGTTCACACTGACAAAAGGCAGCCCACGTTGCCTCACAGTAAGAAAGGTTCAGTTCTCTATAGGTAATCTTCTCCCCAGAAAGAATAAAAGCAAACAAATATTTATTTCAGAAGATGTGAGCTGAGTAACATTCCTCCTAGTAAATATAAATTGCAATTCAGAGGGTGGAAGTCTACAAACATTTATGTATTTTTCATAACGTACAAAGTTATAATGCTTTTCAAGCTATACGAAAGCAAGGTATTTACAAGTAAGATGGAATGAAAATTCCTCTCAGTCACCCTTCTGTACTAAACAGAAACTTTAAAAATCAAAACCCTGGCACAGAAACTGCGTATTAGGGAGAACCTGGGCACACCTAATCAGCACAATTTCAAGTAAAGAGCACAGGAAAGGCATTAACCAGAATACTGTACCCAATTCTGAACACGTTACTTCAAGAAATACACAACACCTACAGAGACTACCGCAAAACAATGAAAGACGAAGATGTGCAAAAAAGATGAATTAATGAGCAAAAGAAAAAGAACTGGACTTACTGAGCCTTAAGAGAACAAGCTACAGAGATTCTTCAAGCAATAAAAATAACTGCAGTGAGGATGCAGGTCCTTGGTACAAGAAACAAGAGCAACAAGTCTATATTGCATCAAGGAATAGTCAAATTGAACATCAGGAAAAGCTTTTTCAAGGAAATGATGTGTAATACTGGCATACACTGGCTAGACTGCTCAATCTCTGAAATCGGAGGTCTTCAAGACAAGTCAGAACATCTGTCAGTAAAAGCACTGGGGGCTGCAGGAGAGGGATTACCTAGTCACACTTCTGAACCATTAAGCCTCAGCTCCCAGCTGAGGTAGAGGAGTGCTAAGGCGAGGTGCAGCAGCAAAGCTGAACACCAAGCGTAGCAAAGGAAAACAAGAAGGTAAGCAGCAACCACAAATTCCATTACAAAAAAGGAGAACAACTAGACCAGATGACTTATGGAGTAACTTATCTACTTCACTATGAAACCATAGATACTGTTCTATGTATTAAGAACAGAAAATCTAATTTGCCAGTATAAAACTGAACAATACAATTGAGGGTTTTAAATTAGTTTTCTTACTTTTGGCCCAGTTACTTCAAGTATTTCATTTTCTGCTCCTTGCAGAAAAGACTAAGCAAATGGTTGTAACAAAACCACCTTTAAAATCTTCCAATACTGATTTATTGTAGACCAACTGGAAAAAAAAAACACCTTTGCTAAACTGAGTCCAGCAAATCATTCACTTTCAAACGAACTAAGCTCACCTCCTATAAATGGCCAGTTAATAAACTGAACATAACTGAAACAGCACTGCATTCTAAAAAAGCTCAAATGTAACAAACACATTTTTTACCCTGCTTAACATTACTTACCCTGCTGAATCCAAGTTTCCACGGCGCGTTCTTCAGTATCTCATCCAACTTTGTTAGCATCTTGTCTTGAAAATGTACTTCCTCACCATCCGTACCATTGTTTTCTTCAGTCTCTCTTTGCCAATACACCATATTCAACAGACAGCAAAAATGGCGTGGCAGAAGAACTGGTAAGAATTCCAGTATCATCGGAAAGGTCAGAGCCACCAACACCGCCTTTCCTGCAACTGCATGTACCATAAACCAGGACAGTTTTAAGCAATATACAAAGATATTTGTAAAGGCTCTTATCCTTCTGCCTCCTCTAGGTCCAAAACATCCCTGACTTTTTTCAGTATTTATTCTTTTTAATCCTTTTCATATTCTTTTAAAGTCCGCTATCCCTGGACTGCCTTGGAGAAAAAAAATGTAAACAGATGATAGATAAAAACTGCAACTAAATGTACACATTTCGAAAATACATATTATACATTTGGTTTAAACTGCCTACTGAACAGCATTCTGTAGAACATCAGTTCAGACGTCACCACACCTGCCCCTCCTGTCTAAAGACAATTTTCATACAAATGCACATAAGAGCATTTAAAATACAAAGCAAGAACACAGGCTTCTAAATTTGTAGCATCAGATCAGTACAGGAACTTAGCAAAACTTAGGGCGGAGAAAAAAAAAAGAAATTCTTCACCATGAGGGTGGTGAGGCAGTGGAACAGGCTGCCCAGAGGAGCTGTGGCTGCCCCCTCCCTGGCAGTGTTCAAGGCCAGGCTGGATGGGGCTTCGAGCAACCTGCTCTGGTGGAAGGTGTCCCTGCCCATGGCAGGAGGGCTGGAACTAGGTGATCTTTAAGATCCCTACCAACCCAAACCATTCTACAATTCTATGAAAACAGTGCTCCTCACTGGCTTTCTCAATGACCCCAAACTTAGGTTATCACTTTCCCTGTTTGTACCAGTCTTGGGATCTGCAAAAGAGGGATAATGAAACTGATAAGCTCTATATCTTGCTTTAAAAAACTAATTTTAGAAGAAAGTGAGACTTTTAGAAGTTTTATGTCTTCACAGGAAGAAAACCTCACAATTTTTCATAAAGTGGTATGGAAATTCCATAATTCCAAATTTAAAACACCCATTTTTTTCAGTTAAGTACCTTTTCTGATTACTGTCTTACCTACAGAAAGGCATAGATAAAACCTTTTCCCTTTGAGGCAATAACTTCACTTACAAGTGGAGAATCAACACACACTACTTCTAGACAAAAGCATTGTGAAGGCTTCAATAACAAACTGCTCCAGCCCGTAACAATGACAACCAGGAAAAAACAACAAAAGTAACGACATTACATACAGGGGGTGGGTTGTTGTTTCTATTGCCCAATGATAAAGAAGAAAGCTTAAGTTGTATCAAAGTCATTTAAGTCAGATACTAGGAAAAATCTGCCAACTACAACAACAGTGAACAGGATACCTAGGCACGCTGTGCTACCTTCAACGCTGAAGACTGATGAATGTATTAGACAAGCTTCAATCAGAAGTGATCCATGCATCTCATTAAAATTCATGCAGCAAACTAGATCCGAGTTTCCACCACTGTAGATTCCCATCTCTTTGTGGTCACAAAAAGATTTCAAGTCCGTAAGATGGGTTAAGAACTTTTCTACCATTACAAGAACACAACAAAAAGCCTGAAGTCCATAGAACTGAGTGTTTTCCTCTCCTTGTACATGTGATTTGGAGCAAAGTCTAACAAAAGCTCTGAACTCTCGTGTCAGACACGATTTGAACTCCAAAAGTCGCCTCCATCTTTTGCCCTGCCACTGCCAAGAAAACCAGGTCCTGGAAGACTTCGTGGATAGACCCAACCTGTCTGTACAGATTTCTGCCCGGCTGTGGCTGACTTTACAAGACCTCCTCCAGATGAGAGTACTGAGTCCCGCGACACTGACACCAAAGCAGCTCTGTACCAACCCAGGACTGCCTGTGTCCACACCAGGAATGTGGTGGTAACAGATCATCGGAGCAAAACAAGAGAGCTAGTGTTGCAGACATGTCTCAGACGTCTTGGCTTTCCGTATTTCAGTGATTTGCCTTAGACTGGCTATAGTCTGGTCCCACAGACTGAATGCCCATTAGGTTCAGCTGGAACACACCATTCGGGTTCCATCCAGCAAGAATACAGTCAATACTCTCAGAGACTGCACCACAGTGGGGACAAGAGGTGTATTTTCTTCCAAAGCACACTCCTGATCCAACCTCTAACACTCCTGCAGTCACACCAACACAGACCACAACAGGATCCTCAGCAGTCCTGAACTGTCTCCACGTGAGGACACTCCAGTGCTTCCACGCTCTGCTCCCCAGCCACACCAGCCTGCTGATGGGCAGGATTCAAATACACTGAAATTGCCTATCTAGTGCGCCTGACTTGGACTGCACTGAGCCCATTAGCTGTTCCCTACGCTACAAAGAAGCAGCTATACTACATCTGAACAACTATTTGTCTTAAAAAGCCATACCACCACGTTTGAGCAGTGCTGAACCCATTTTCTAATAAGCCATGTTATATCTGAATTTTATACGAAGCCAGTACCAGTGTCTTTTCATCCCTAGCACAGACAATTCTACTCAGTAAGCCTACAGATTTCAGGGAAGTCCTAATGAGTTTGTAACTGTATGCCTATCTTTAACAGGCCAGCTGTCCCACTGCCCTCAAATTAAAAAAAAAATCATCTTTGGATGTTCAGAATCCGTTTGAATATACACTATATTAATGAAGACACATTAGCTCGAACACAGTATCTGAGATAGACCTCATTAGCTTATAAAGCAATCAAAATAGCACAGGATATACCTACATGATTTTGAAACATAGTAGAAGATGTCATAATGCTTGGTGTCTCTTTGTTTCTTCCCAGTCCTTAAGTGTGAAACTTGGAACTGTTTTAGCTTTTCTTCAAGATTTCTAAAACTCAGCACAGACTCAGTAGGAAGCCAAGTAAAAAACTTTTCTCTGAAATCCTCAGGAACGGCACATTCCTTAAGAAAGAGCGAAAAGACTTGTCGGTTGTTTTCTTCTATATCAGTCCGCAGAAAATATGATGGATATCCTTGCACAAAGTATTTCGACCCCATTTTTTTAGCTTTAACATTAACTCTCCACCAAGGGCCAACTAATGGGAAACGTCCAACTACTTCACACTCCTCTTTGGAGTTGTCTTCTTGTATAACAACTGAATCATTGAAAAGAAAAATAAAACCTTTGTTAATTGACAGTCATAAGCATCAAAAGTTTGATTAGAAGAGTCTTGTTTGTTTGTTCAAAGCTTATTTTTGTCTTTTGTATAAGTTAAAGTGACAAAAGGCACCGGTGTTCACAAGCTTCCTGAGGTCAGTCTTCCCAGTAGCATTAAAAAGCGAAACCAACCTCAGAAACAAGCACTAGAACTGCTTCTCTAAGTATCACAAGTACAAAATTAAACTTGTGCATGAATATTTATTAAGCCAATTAAACACAATGGCATATAGTTTAATATTACACCATTTATGCCAAGCCAAGCTTGCAATTCAATTTTAAAGTTCTGCCACAAAGCACTGCATCGTGATACCTGCGTGCTCTTCAGATAGATTAATACACCAAACACTTCCCGTAAATGAAACCACCAAAAATTATAAGCAATTAATATAATAAACTCCTAACACAGTGTATGGCCTGGGTTGCCTCCTCTTTCCATCATTCTTCCCTCACAAAAAAGAGTACACCGTTCCCCGGCCCACAACCTGGGACTAAAACACCACGACCAGAACAAAGCGAGGACCGGTGTGCAGCAGGACCTCCTGCTCTCCAAACCAGACCACCAGCAGATCTTCAGTCTCCAACGCCTTGTCTACTTGTTCTCCATTTGTTACCTAGCTCAATTTTGCCATTTCTAAAACAATTTTCAGACTCAATATTCTTGCTAGGCACAAGTTGCTCCAACATCACCTGCTTTTCCAAGTCCTAAATTGAAAGCAGGGGGTCACTAATGTCAGGCATGAACACCTTTACATGTGATACAAGACACAAAAAGATGGAAGGTTTTGTGCAAAGTTAACTTGAATGGAAAAACCTTGTTTTCTTACTGCTGCAACATGTGGCCATAGGAAAGGACAAACACCGCCGCCCTGCTGCTGCCTGCGCCAGACCTGCTTCGC